CTCACTCTCTAGCTCCTGCTGGCCTGGAACTTGGGGCCAGCGTCTTGCCTTGCCTCCCAAGCACTTGGGATTACAGGCGTGCCCCACTGTGGCTGGCAGCTGTTCTTTTTAAATTGTCAGCTATACCTGTGGTCCATGATGTCACCTTTGCTGATTCTGCAGTCTCTACCTCCTTGATTCATGAAGGTTTGGCCCAACCAGCTATGTACCTTACACCACATTTAGCCTTTAGCACAGAGAGACTCATCCTGTCAGCTGATTCATGAAGGTTTGCGTGGCTGGTGTTCTTGCTTGCCCAACCAGCCATGTACCTTACACCACATTTAGCCTTTAGCACAGAGAGACTCATCCTGTCAGACAGTGCTGAGTGTGAGAAAGGACCCCTGTGTTTTGTCTCCTGGAACCTTATGTCCCTTGTCCTGTTCTGTCCCTGAAGATTCTGAGATGCTGACTGAGCAAGATCCCTCTGTCAAGAAGCTTTCACTGTATGACCATGGGCCAGTAACTCACCTCTAATTAAAGTCTCTCCATGGCCCATCAGTCAATGCTGAGCCAAGAGCAGGCCACCTCCTGCACTCGGGAAGTGTACAGGCTAGTTGGAGAAATCTGAGGGCTCTGAAGCACTTTATGAGCCTTGAGAGAGCAACCGTGGCCCCCTATGCTACTTTGTGGAGAGAGGCGGTGGGGCAAAGAGGAAGAATTGGAGGGCAGTGCTGCCTCTGTTAGAACATGGTGCCAGGAACAGGCATTTGCTGCATTTGCCACAGAGCTCGGCAGCAGGACATCAGCATCACGGAGCCCTGGGTTGTTGTCAGGAAACCCCAGTTGTAGGTCTGCCTCTGCCACGGTCACTTTGGGCAGCTGTGAGCAAGCCTTTGCCCTGTGCCTCGCTTTCCCAGACCGAACCCTGAGGTCTCTGTAGCTCTGCTGTCTCTGGTTCCCTGGAGTGTTTGGAGGTGGGGAGCTAGAGAAGGGGCAGGTGGGGTGCATGAGCAGGATGAATAGAAATGAAGCCCAGAGAACACTGGAGCGTGGCTGAGACTCCGCAGGAGAAGGCTGGGAGGTGGCACTGCCTCTGCACCAGAACCTGCTATTGTGCGGCTGATAGCCGGCCATGGGCTGGGCTTGATGTGGTGACAGGAAGGCTCCACTGTGGTCTTTAGGCCAGGAGTGGCCATAACCAAGGCAGTGACTTTGGTGGGAGTGTTCTAGAGAGAGTGGAAAGAGGAGTTCCTGAACTGCTCTGCCCATGGGCTGCACCTTCTGCTCTACTAGGTGAAATTCTTTAGAATGTCTAGAGCAGGGGTTCTTACTGTACATGGGGTCTTAGGCCCTCTGAGAAGCACTTGGCAGACCCTATGGCTCCCTGTAGGGCCTTGCTGAGCTTAGGAAGCAGAGTGTGCACATAGGGTGTGTACACAGAGACCCATCTCTGCCTTCACTCTTGTCACCTCAGGGGAAGGGAGGAATGTTACAGAGGACCCCAAGGCCCAGGGAACCAGGCACTGCCTGCAGGCACTCACCAAGACCTAAGACCCAAAGCCTAGGAGGAAGGTGGGGCTGTTAAGCCAGCCAGTGGCCTGGAAGTCCTGAGTCCCTGCCCTGTGAGTCAGCCCAGACGGGGAACCTTCGTAACTGGAGAATTTCCCGGGGCTGAGCAGGGCCACGGGGGAAACTGAGTCATGAGGAATGGGGAAGCAGTGGGAGAATGGCCTAGCATTGTCCACTCAGGCCTTGGTGAAGATCATCTCCCCATCCCCAGGAGCTTGGACCCCCACCCCCGGAGGACAGCAACCTGATGCTCCACCTGCAGCGCCTGGAGACCACCCTGAGCGTGTGTGCCGAGGAGCCCGACCACAGCCAGCTCTTCACCCACCTGGGCCGCATGGCCCTGGAGTTCAACCGACTGGCCTCCAAGGTGCACAAGAACGAGCAACGCACTTCCATCCTGCAGGTGAGGCGGGCGGGTGCCCCCCACCAGCTGTCAGTGGGGTCCAGGGGTTAACTGTGGGGACTGCTCAGGGCTGGGTTCCAGGTCCACTTGGGGCTTCTTGTTCACAGTGGTTACTTGGGTAAGGAAGTTGTGGAAAGGAAACGGGGAAATGGGAGGTAGACCAGGCAGACTTCATGGTGGTACCCTGGAGGGTGTGGTCAGGGCAGACTGGGTGTGGCCTCCTTTGTCCTTCAGGGCAGCTCCTTGTACACTCTGCCCCACTGCAGTGGAAGCTGGTGGTAGGACCCTTTCCAGATGGGGAAGCAGCTCTCAAAAACATTGGGACGTTTTCTCCTAAGTCACCCAGCTCTTCTATATCTAGTTCCTATTTATTTCCTCCGTGGCTCTTAACAGTTGGTAGTAGTCTACTGAGCAGTCTACTTGCTAGAGTGTCGTCTTCATGGGGAAAACAGGCTCCTTGTTACCGTGCTCACTGTGTCCCAGTGCCTGGCACTCAGTACACACAGGGAGAATGAGTGAGTGAGCCAGCCATAATCCCAGCACACCCATAATCCCAGCTCCAGAGACTGAAGCAGGAGCTTCGAAGCCCAAAGCAATCCTGGGCTAAAAAGGGAGACCCTGTCGCCAAAAACAAAACAGGCTGGAGAAATGGCTCAGGGGTTAAGAGCGTGGCTGCTCTTGCAGAAGACTGGGGTTTGGTTCCCAGCACCCACATGGCAGCTGACAACTGTCCATAACTCCATTTCCAGGGGATTTGATGCCCTTCTCTGGTTCCACAGGCATTGCATGCAGGCAAAACACTCACACACATAAAGAAAAATATTAATAATTTAAAAGAAAAACAAAACAGAATAAATGACTCACAAGTGAGTCTTTTTGATGGAGGTTGCTGACCCCTCACCTCTGACAGTCTTGTCCAGCACTTGGTTTCTGCCCAGGGCCTTTACCTAGAGACTCCAAGGAATAGCACTCTGGCCTGGAAGGGTGGGGCTGCAAGTGCAGCATCATCCTGGCCTTTTCTTAGGGACAGGAGCAGGACATTCTCTTCCCTGGAGTCCTCACCCAGGGCCACAGCATCTCCCTGTTTGCACAGCCTCTGGGTGGTGGCAGACAGTCCAGTCCCTCCTCATTCTCTCCTTGATTGTTTCTTGGTCCCCTCTGCAAACATTTTCCTTAGGGCTGGTGGCTCATACCTGTAATCTCAGCACTGGGGAGGCTGAGGCAAGAAGATTGCTGGTGGTTCAAGGCTGAGCTACCTAGTGAGTGTCAAGCCAGACTGACCTAGGTTACAGAGTAAGACTCTGGCTAAAAAACAAACCAAGCAAAAAATAGGATCAAGGCCCAATATGGCACAAGGCCCTCTACTTCACACTGAAGGAGCCGCTAAGAAGTTTTCTGCTTTCTCAGCCTCCGACCCCATAGTGTCCGTCCATCCTCCAGTGCAAGGCTGCCCCTCCTGTGAACCCTGCCAGGACTCTCCTGCGCTAGTCAGAGAGGAAACCAGTGGTTCTAGAGTCTTCCCTTGTATTTTGTATGGTGAGGACTTGTTTCTCTCCATACTCTTCTGTTCCTACAGGAAATACAAGGTATCCGCACTAGCTAGGGAACAAGACCAGGGGATTGTCATAGGTCAGCGCGACATGGCACCTGTCACTTCTGGCTCTTCAGCCACATGATGGCTTCCCACTGTAGTGCACCTGGAGGCAGAGGGAGCGGTGGGCCGTTTGGTGAGAACGGCTTCGCTGCCCCAGCTCTTGGGCTGTCTCCTGGGAGCTTCGCCTCTTCCCTCTCTGCTGTTTCATGCCAGGGAAAGAGACCAGTGCGGGGTCTGCCAGGCATGTGAGCCCAGTAGTGACTCCGCTGTCTTTTCCTTTTTAGTATTTTGGACTGCTTGGAGGAGTCAGCTGTCTCCTGAGTTGGGGATCCAACTCAGGTTGTCAGGCCCCCAATCCTGAGTCTTAAGAGCAGGGCAACTTCCTGCACCGTTGACTTCAGTTTTCCTGCACACACACACACACACACACACGCACACACACACACACAAATAGATGTAAAATGAATTTTAAAGAACTCCAGAGGGGGGAATGTTGGAGGGGAGGGAGTGGGCATGGATTTGATCAAAACATCTTATATACATGTGTGAAATTCTCAATAAAGTTTTTCTAAAAATTAAAAAAAGAAAAAAAAATCAAGGTGTGAGGTGGCTTTGAAGAAATTGTGAGGTGCCCAGAAGGCAGCATAAAGATAAGCATCCAGTCACTCACTGGCACATGACAGGTGCTCAGTGAGTGTTTGTTCAGAGATCGAGCGATAATTCCATCCCATAATTTGTGGTTGCTGGGCAGCACCTTCCCTACCCACCCACCTGGGAGGCCCTGGATCTGGCTACTCACTGCCTCAGGACTGTTCCAGCACACGTCCTCAAAGTGTCAAGTGACTGGCCATGTGTGAGCCTCTTGGACTCTCACAGACCTGGTCCTCTTAGCAACCCTACAAGAAGACAGAGGAGCAGTTGTCCACTCTGTAGAGGAAGAGATGAATCTCAGAAGAAAACGAGAGCCATGCTGTGCAGGTGTAATGAGGACTGAGCAGAGCCTGGTCTTGAGATGGGCCTTTGCCTTCTGGAAGCCTCTCCCTGAGCCTTGACAGCCCCCCCCCCCCAGGCCTCAGTGACCCCTCTGTATTCGCTCTTTCATTTACTTGGCTACTCAGTGAAGTTTGAGCTGGGGCCTGGGTGTCTGGCTGTGAGCAAGATGAGGAGGAGGGGTTCCACCCTCACGGGAGCTCATGGTCTGAGGGGTAAGGGGCTGGATGTAAAAACATGGCACGGTCTTCTCACAAGTGCTGAGACTCATGAGAACAGTGGCCTTTGAGCAGGACTGATGGGGTAACCTGACTTAGCAGGTGGTGGGCAATGACAGGTGGGCCTCTCAGAACCTGGGGAGGGCTGCTGGGGAAAGGGGTTTAGGCAGGTGGGACAGGGAAGGGAGGAGGGGGGAAGCTCTGATAGTGAGGACCAGGAGCCCAGGGCTGGCTCCTTAGGAGGAGGAATCCCTGAAGGAGTCTGCATGGCCTGGCTCCTTGCTGTCCTGCCAGTCAAAGGGGATATGGTATTAGGTCCTGGACGGGCTACAGCCCCCAGTCCTTTTGTGTCAGCCTGCCTTGAGATATGCTTCCTTACCCTTGTCTCTGACCACCTGTCTGCCCCACAGACCCTGTGTGAACAACTACGCCAGGAGAACGAGACTCTGAAGGCCAAACTGGACAAGGGCCTGGAACAGCGGGATCAGGCTGCTGAGAGGCTGAGGTAAGCCCAAGCTCCTCAGAGAAGCGGGTGTAGAGTAGGAGGGCTGTGATGCCTCACACTGGTTTCTGGCATGAGCCTTACCTCAGAGTTCTGTTTCCGGACATCAGATCTCTTGACCCTTCTTGGCTTCTGGTACTTTCTTCCTGGCCTTTTGGTTACCTTGGGGAGGGTCTGTTTGCCTTGGGGGCAAGCACCTAAACCTGATCACAGCTGTCTGCTGTGTGGGAGATCAGGACTCTGCTGTCCCCTGGTGGTTACCACCATGACCTGCTTGCTTTTCCAAGAATCATCAGAGAGAGATCCCTATCTGGACTGGTTACTGGGCCACAGGCCCACCCGGGGCCCAGAAATGACTTAGGAATTTATTTCAGCCTCTCCTTGGCAAGACCCAGTTGTGGTCTGAGGTGAACTATAGGGTGTGCCTCTCACCAAAGATGAGACTGATATAGGAGGCCTGGGATCATGCCTGGGGAAACACTGGGCTTGACTGTTAGAGCTCAAAGGGTTCTTGTGACCGGATCATGCAGGCCAGCCCCCATTGTTTGAGGGGTACGGGACCAGAGAGAGCCAGGGGCTTCCTTGGGGTTTCACAACAAGGACCTGGGCATTTTCCATAGTTCCTGCCTCCCTGGGGTGCTAGATCATCTGTGAGGAGAGGCTGTGTCAGAGCAGGACTTGGCACTGAGTCCCCTCCTATCCCACATTACAGCCAACAGAAAGATAAGTAAAGGTGCTCAGTGCAGCCCGACCACCTTTATTTATGGGATAGCTGAGCCTCTGGGCTGCTTTGTATCAGCATGCCTTAGTTTACTTTTGGATAGCTGGGTGAGTTGGGGTTTTGGAGCCATACTCAGTCCATCCATAGATTCAAAGCCCCGAGGGGAGGAAAGGCTTAAGAGTGAGAAGGTGGAGTACAGATCCTCACTCTGGCCTGAGGAAGGCCACCCGACTCCATGGGTGTTTTTGCTGCTGAGTAGAAACCAGCTGGCACAGGAACATGTCCTGTCACCTGCTTATGTACTTAAGGCTGAACCCTCATTCAGTCGTTCTGTTTGTTTGGTTTCACTATATAGCCCAGGCTAGCCTCAGACTCACAGCAGTCCCCTGCTTTAGCCTCACAAACATTGGGATTAGAGGTGTGAGCCCCCACAGTCACCTTTCTTTGATTCCTGTTTCTACTTGTTATTATTACAAAGGAAATCTCAGCTGGAATAAATGGACAGCAGCGCCACCTGCACTCAAGGGATCATGCTTCTAAAAACACTGGGACTAAATGGTTGCTGATAAGTGTGGGGAGTGTGTTGTCACCTCTGGCTCTGAGCCAGGCGCCTGCTCTCCCTCTGTTAACAAGGGGGCGCACCAGGTGCTAACCAGGGCTTAGGACCTTAAGATCCAGTGTGGAGAGTCACCCCACAGAGGGGGAAACCCTACTCTGGAGGGTCCAGACTTCTCAGGAAGCCCACACACTGCCCTCTGGGTGGCTTGCAGATGCCTTTGGAATTCTCTCTGAGGAAAAGCTTCAGGATCTCATCAGACTCCCCAGAGCACTGCTGCGATGCCTGTGATGGTGGGGCTGTGGCCTCACGGGCCCAACATGGCTTCTCCATTTGTCTCTGACTCAGGGAGGAAAACATGGAGCTCAAGAGGTTGTTAATGAGCAGCAGCAGCAAAGAGGGTGCTTGTGGGCAGCCCAGCTCCCCGAAGACAGAAGGCCCTGGCAAGAAGGTGGTGGCCGGACAGCAGCAGGTGTGTGGCCAGAAATTCCGTAGCATCCTGGGCTGCTGGTATCCGGCACCCATCTGGTCAGCACTCCAGTACAGTGAGTGTACCACTTCCTGCACACAGTTCCCACGGTAGAAGGTTCTCGCTGATAATCGTGTTTCCTAGCTCAACATGTGACATTTGCCCCCAGAACGACCACTTTCTCAGACTTTGTTCTGCCTTCGGGCACATGGCATGGCCCATTCCCAGTTGCTAGCAGTCACGTGGCTCTGTGGTCGCTGCCAGTCCCTCCTCTCTTGCTAGATGGCTCCAGTTTTCCTGGAGTTACCCATGGAAGCTGGGCTTAAGTGTCTGCTTGTTCTGGGTACTTGTACCCTAATGGTTCCAACTTGTCAAGTCTCTTCCGGGGTGGCTCCCAAAAGTCAGGTTAGCATGTCAGCTGTTCCAGGAGAAGTGGAATGTCTGATGGAGTGGGCTCTCAAGATTGCACCCTGGAGCCCCTGCATGGGGGGAGGAGGACACTGGCCACATCATTGTGATCTGGGACTGCCTTGGGCTGGCCACACCACTCCACCTCCAGGCCCAGCCTTGCTTGCTACGCAGCCCAATCCGCACCATTCCCCAGCCTGTCCTCTGCTCCCCACAAATGAGTTATAATTAGCAGCAGAGTAGGGCCTGGTGCCAGCGTTACCTATGTAATAGTAATTACCTCAATCACTTACTCTTCATCACCCATGACATGCAAAGCCATGAGCTCATTTTGGCTCCTCTGTCTGAAAGGCAGGCGGGGCTGGGATGTCTCGTCCATGTACAGCCACGGCAGGAGGCTTGGAGCGCTCATGTGCCGTCCTGCAATTAAGATTGCTAATATCACCTGGTCTCCAAGATGCATAAACTGAGCCTCCATTCTCTAGAGCACCAGATGTTGCTTTTAACGGCAGATTCTCGGGGAGGTCACCTTCTCTGGAGAGCTGCCCCTGGTGCCATGGTATGCTTATAGGACATAGCCTGTAGGGGGCACTAGAGCCCCACAGTTCTACCTCCAGACCTCACCCAGAGCCTGTAGTAAGGGAGGAGGGAAATCTGAGAGTCTGGAGGCTCAGAGGGTGTACTCCAATATCCGACGTCTGATGGGGCCTTGTGCATACCAGCTTCTGTTTTCTGATCACACACTGCGGCTCAGAGGGGTCTGGCACTCGACCACTGAGGTTCTAGCCTCATTCTGTGGCGTCACCTCAACACTTCAATTTGTTGTTTGAATATAATGCCTTTTCATTTTGAGGTAGCTTTAAATGCACGCAGAAGTTGTCCAGAGTTCCAGGCTACACAACACCTTTCCTCTGGCTTCCCTTACCATCTTACATAGCCACAGAACCATCTCACCAACCATCTGACATAACTATGGTTCAGTAAGTTGGAATTAGCACTGACAAGAGGCTGTTGCCTACATTGCTCAGATTCCACAGGTCTGTCACTCCTCGTCTAGAATCAAATCCAGGATCCCAGATGGCATTCGCTTGTCCCAGCTCCTTAGTGGCCTCGTGTCTGTGACAGTGCCTAGCCTTCCTTGTTTTTCATGACCTTGACAGCTTTGAGCTTTGCTGGCCAGTTGTTTTTCAGAATATTCTTCAGTTTGGGTTTAGATTAGATGTGATCATAGATGTTGGCAAGAATCTTACAAAGCGATGTGCCATGTGCACAAGTGTGCATAGCGCTGGGCTCTTAGTACATGTGTTGGGGCTACGTGGTGTCAGTGTATCCTGTCGCTGCTAACCTCCATCCCTACCTGAAGTGCTCTCCTAGGGCGCTCCATAACGAAGAGGCTCATTTTCCCTTTGTAACTAATAAATTTTTTAAGGTTATTATTTAATTTTTAAAAATTTTATGTGTGTGTTATGGGTCCTCCGAAAGAGCATCCAGTGCTCTTAACTGCTGAGCCATCTTTCCAGCCTGCAATTAGTAAAGTTTTTGAGGATGTACTTTAAGGGCTTCCTACCCGCTGAACACACACTCTTACCTCTGAGCTACACTCCCAACCCTCCTCTTACATTTCCATTCACTAATTTTAGTGCCCATGAGTAGCTCTCCCCTGCGGTATTTATTACCATGGTGTTCTGGTGGTGACATCATAGCTCCCTCATTCTTTCTAAATTTATGTCATTCACTTTCTTCTTAACTGTTGCTGGGGAATTACAACTACGGCTGTACATATGCTAGGCAGGTGTCTGACCACGGAGCTACACCCCCAGCCCTTCTTTCTACATTTATGAATTGAAATTCTCTCCCCCCTCCCTTTTTAAGATTTTTTTTTTTAAAAAATTTATTTAATAACCACGTAATTAGAAGAAGCATTTTATTACAACAGCATTGACATATTCAATAACAATTTCCAGAGCTAAGATGCATGTCCCCCTTTGTTTTTAAATCTCTTATCCCTCTTTTTAAAGCGATTTATTTTAATTTTATATGTTTAAAGTGTTTGCCTATGTGTGTGTGTACCATGTGCATGCCTAGTGCCTGCAGAGGCCAGAAGAGGGAATCAGATCCCTGGAACTGGAATTAGGTGGTTGTGAACTGCCATGTGGGTGCTAGGAACTTAACTGAGGTCCTCTTCAAGAACAACCAGCCCACTTAACCACTGAGCCGTTGCTCCAGCCCCTATTTTCATTATTTTAAAATTCTTTATGTGGTCCTAGCACTTGAGGGGCAGAGGCAGGTGGATCTCTGTAAGATCAAGGTCAGCCTGGTCTACATAGCAAGTTCCAGGCCAGCTGGGGCTACAGAGAGACCTGCTTCAAAAAGAAAAGAAATTCTTTATTCACTTAATGCCATCTGTGTATGTGGAACCTTGGCCTATAATCCAGCACTGCTGGGTGTATGTGGCCTTTGACACAATTGTTGTTAGCACCCCTAACTTTCTAACATTATACAGTGTTCTAAATGCACTGTATGTTCTCCCCGCCCCAGCCCTGAAAGTAACCACTGCTAGAAGAAGCCCTGTTTCTTTTATAAGGAATTGTAGTTTAGAAACCAAGCTGGGGCAAGCAAGATCTCTGGGGTAAATCCTGGGGCTCTGAGCACACCTTCCTACAGCTCAGTTTCTTTTTCTTGCTTATGGGAGAGGGCATGCATGTTCTATGGTGTCCTATGGAGGTCAGAGGACAACTTCTGGGAGTCAGTTTTCTCTTTCTCCATGAAACTCGGGTTCTCAGGCTTGGCTGCAATTGCCTTTACCTGCCGAGCCATCTTGTTGCCCCCTTAGAACACTGTGTATAACTCACACTTTCCAGGTCAGAGGATTTGGGGTTGATGTGGGCGTTGCCCAGCAGTGCCCCAGAGCTGGAGCCTAAGCAGGGAAGGTGGCTGTGGAGAGAGCTGGAGATGGGAGGGCGAGGCTCTGAGCCATGGTGCACATCAGTGGGGGCTGTTGGGTGGGAGGAGCAGGGAGGTGACAAGTGCTGGGGCCCTTTGGAGCAGTGGGCCAAGAAGAGGAGCTTTAGCCAAGGCTTTGATGATGGTCCTCTGTGTTTCTCCCCAGGTCAGTGTGATGGCGGGTAAAGTCCCCGAGGTGGGGGGCTTAGGTGTGGCTGAGAAGAAGGTGAAGATGCTGGAGCAGCAACGCATGGAAGTAGGTGTCTGGACATGAGGGAGGGAGCTGGACATGGAGGGAGGGGCCTGGGCATGGAGGGAGGGGCCTGGTGGACATGGAAGGAGGAGGCTGGACATGGAGGGAGGGGACTGGACAGGGTGGTCAGAGAGTACCTTTCTCCCCTTCTGGGACCGGAAGGGTAAAAAAAATCCTTCCTGACTCCTGCTGGTCCCAGGTCACCTTGGGGAGTTGCCATGGTAACTACTCAACCATCTGCCCATGGAAGAGATTTCTGTCCTCTCTTGATCCACAGGGGCACTGAGGAGACTGTATTTGTGGCACATCCTAAAATCGTTATGTGCAGTAGGGGAGTTTAGGAAGGTGTTCATGGTAAATTGGCTAGTGGAAGGAGGTTGTGATAAGTCAGGCTAATGTCAGCACTGGGGACAAGAATTGGAGGGCTTCAGAATGGGGGCTCCTCTGTGGACATGCACCAGAGTGGGAGTGCCCAGTGAAAGGGGATCCCATGCCCTCCACAGCAGTCTGCATTCTGTATCTCAGAACTACTCCCCACCTCCACCCCAGTCCAGCACAGACTCCTTTGGTGGGTGTTAGTCTGTCCCTGTCCTTCCTCTCTAGATTCCTTCTCTCTCACTGCTTGGAGCCTTTGTGCCTCTCTAGTCTTCTCACACGTCTGAAAGTTTGTTTGCATGCATATTCTAGATGTATTTTACTCAGATTTCAAAGTAAAACAATGCTCATAAAATAAATCGAGAATCTCGCCTTCCAAAGATAGCTGCCGTGAGCTTGCTGCCTTTCCCTCAGGGTTGCTGTGTTTTGAGTGTTTTTCTGGTACTGGAGATTGAAACTAGCATCTCACTGAGTTGCTCAGAATTCTGCCTCAGCCCCCCAAGTAGCTGGGATTACAAACCCGTGCCACTAGACCTGTAAAGCCCTGTATTCAAGGTTTTTAATGCCGAAAAATAAAATGACACATACTGCTTTCCAGATTACTTTTTCCTTTTGAATTTTATTTACTTATTTTTTATGTGTATGAGTGTTTTGCCTGCATGTATTTAAGTGCACCCATGCTGCAGTGCCCACAGAGACCAGAAGAGGGCATAGGATCCTGTGGAACTGGAGTTACAGGTGGTTGTTAGCCACCACGTGGGTGCTGGGAATCAAACCTGAGTCCTCTGCAAGAGCAGCCAGTGCTCTTAACTGCTGAGCCATCTCTCCAGCCCCACTCTTTTCTTTTAAAATTGACTATCTGCCAGGCATGGTGGCACACGCCTTTAATCCCAGCACTCAGGAGGCAGAAGCAGGTGGGTCTCTGTGAGTTTGAGGCCAGCCTGGTCTACATAGTGAGTTCCAGGACAGCTGGGGCTACAGGGAGACCCTGTCTCAAAAAGACAAAAAAATAAAATAAAATAAATTGACTATCTTTGAGGATATTTGTTCAGATCTACAACACAAAACCATATTCCCTCATTCCTGAGTATTTCTACCACCCATAGTGCTTCAGAAGTTGAGATACCCTCTCCCGTTGTTAAATGTCTTATTTGCTTAATGAGGTAGAGTTGTTTTCTTCTCTGAGAAATTGCTATGTCAAGTGTATGGCTTATAATTAGTGTTATCTTAGAACTGAGAAAATGTTGTAGATGCCTTAGTTTCTTAATAGCTGCACATTATCTGTTTATATCATCATTTACTTAACCTATATCCTACACCAAGATTGTCCTCTGTTCTTTGTGGGGGTCTGTAGCATAAACACTGTCTTTATATAATTAGTCTTTATGTATTCGTACACACTTGGCCTATGTAGTTCTCTCTTTTTTTCTTTTTTTTTTCTGTACTGAAGATTGAACTCAGGGCCTTGTGCACACCAGGCAAGTGTTCTGCCACTGAGCCACATCCCCAACCCTTGACCTAATTATTCCGTTAGTTAAAATTTTTAGAGTGGAATAATTGGGCTAAAGACAATTGCAAACATGAGATTGTAGCCATTGATCCAAACTGCCCTCTGAAGGGCGCATGTTTGTGCCCCACGCTAGCTATCTCCAGGTCTCAGTGGGCTGACTGCTCCCGTAGCTAGGGTGAATTATAGCCAGAGGTAAAGGTGAAAGCCTTCTAGCACAGTCAAACATAGAGCTTTTGAGCGTCAAGGGATGGAGGCAGTGTCTTTGTGTCACAGCCCTGTGGGCCCTTAGGGGGAAGCTGGGGTACAGGACAGGGACCGCACCCCTTCCCTCTGTGTCTCTAACCCAGCACCTGCCTGCCCACAGCTGCTGGAGGTGAACAAGCAGTGGGACCAGCACTTCCGGTCCATGAAGCAGCAGTATGAGCAGAAGGTACCGAGCCCCAGGATGGCAGGACAGGAGGTGGGGCGCCCACAGTGTTTCTGCCCTTCTGCCTTCATGCACCCCCTCCCCACCCTCACCCTAGATCACCGAGCTGCGCCAGAAGCTGGCGGATCTGCAGAAGCAGCTGACTGAACTGGAGGCAGAGCGGGAACAGAAGCAGCGGGACTTTGACCGCAAGCTCCTCCTGGCCAAGTCCAAGATTGAGATGGAGGAGGCAAGTGGGCCCTGCAGTCTCTGGGGCTTCAGGCTCCCCTCTGTGGAGTCCATGGGGTAGAGCTGGGGACTCTGGTTATGCTACTGTGTGACCTCAGACAGTGGCATATTCCTTCCCCCCACCTCAGTTCCCCTTCTAAAGAAGGTTGAATAGCTGTTGCTTTTCAAATTCTCTTGTTTGTATTCTGAAGAGTTTTTTAATCAATTAAATATTAAATACTAAGGAACTATACAGAGAAGCACATAACATAAAAATATAAACCAGACGTGGTGGGCTCACACCTCAAGAAGCTGAGGCAGGAGGATGGAAAGTTACAGGCCAGCCTGGGCTAGGTAGCAAGATCTTGTCTCAGGCTGGGCCATAGCACAATTGGGAGAGTGCTTGCGTAGCAGGCATGAGGCCTTGGGTTCAGTCCCTAGCACCACATAACCAGGCATAGGGACTTGCAGAGAAGGGTGCATAAGTTCATCCTGAGCTGCACAGGGAGTTTGAGGCCAGCCTGGGCTACATGAGACCCTGTCAAAATAAAATCAAATAAAAACAAGATACAGCACTCGGGAGGCAGAGGCAGGCAGATCTCTGAGTTCAAGGCCAGCCTGGTCTACATAGTGAGCTCCAGGACAGCTGGGGCTACAGGAAGACCCTGTCTCAAAAAGACCGGAAAAAAAAAAAAAAAAAAAAAACCAATAAGATGAAAGCAGGCCTTGGTGGGTGTAAGGTACTGCTCAGTGTTCAGATTAGTGATGATGATTATAGATAAGGGCCCAAGACATGGAAATTCAGTTATTTCAATCATCACAGCCTGCCTCAGGCACTGTCCTAGCTTGGAATCAGCAGGAACCAGCCAGCTCCGCCCTGGCTGCAGAAAAGATGCAGGGTTACTAGTTAGAGGCCGAGAAGCAAAAGTGTGTTAAGTTCTGCCACAAAGAAGCTACAGGGAGCGGAGAATGGGGACCCAATTCTGGCTGGGGGTATGGAGCAGGTCCTTGAAAAAAAATGGCATGTGCTCTGTCAAGTGCGAACAGTGCCAGGCCAAGGCCTTCCAGGGCCCTGGAGCTGCTGCCAGCAGAAGCCACCTGACTCCCAGGCCCTGTGGGTCTATTGACAGCACTGTTTCTTTCCCTTCATAGGGGCAGGGTGTACACTGCTTTTGCCTAACTTACAAGTGGACATTTTCAACATGAGTTGCATTTTAGAGTCCCTTCCATGAGCATGTGACACCTGGAGCCTTAATCTGAACACAGCCTGCATCTCTGCCCACCCCTTCCCATGAGGATTAGTTAGGGGGGACCCTGTATTTTCTCCCTGTGTACACTGATCTGGTTTGTGACTCAAAGCCAGACATCCTGGCTCCGAGCTCCCTTCCCCTCACTCACCTCTTTAGGGGAGACAAATCCCTGGATTCTGACAGTTGTGTCTTGTCAGCTTGGGAAGTGCAGAACATTTCCACATAAAGCTGAGCCCTGTAAATAAGAACCTCTGATAGAGGTCTTACCTTGTCCCAGAGCCTTAAGCAGGAGCCAGGACATCACCCACATGTCCTGGCCCAAGCTGTAATCCACTCACCACTGGTGTGTAGAATATTGACTAAAGGTTACACAGGGCAGGATGAGCACTGACCCTGTGATCTGACTCCTAATCCACGTTACACAGATGAAGTAAAAGCTTTCCCGCAGTGCCTCCCTTTCCATCAGTCCACCCCACCCCCCACTACGCTCCTAGGTCCCCAGGACCTGTGTGTACTGAGAAATGCAGTTCTGGTATCCTGCTTTTTGTATTGCGCTGATACACACTGTTTTAAACTCTACCTGGCCAGGCCTTGGGGTGCAGCCTGTGTTCCCATCTACTTGGGAGCCTGGGGAAGGAGGATCACCAAAATTCAAGCCTATATGGGCTACAGAATGAGTTTAAAGCCAGCCTGGGCAATGCAATAAGAGTTTGTCTTGAAATTAGAACCACTCTTCTCTCCAAAAAAGGCTTCGGATATAGCTCAGTGGTTGGATGCTTGCCTAAGTGCATGAGACTCTGCACCTCAAAAAAATACCCTGGGCTGGACATGGTGGTGCATACCTTTAATCCCACATTCAAGAGCAGAGGCAGGTGGATCTTGGTGAGTTTGAGGCCAATCTGGTCTACATAGTAAGTTCCAGGCCAGCCAGGGTTGCATAGTGAGATCCTGTCCCAATCAGTCAGTCATGAATTCTTTCCGCGGTCGTGAGTGACTAGGATTCTGCACTTTGACCTGTACAGCACAGGTTCTGTTCCCAGCCAAGGAAATATACTTGGACTGGTAAGATGGCTCACAGATAAAGGTACGTGCTGCCAAGTCTGATGACCTGAGTTTGATCCATGGAACCCACATGGTAGAGAGAACTTATTCCCACAAGTTGTCCCAACTGCCACCTGTACATGCCCACACACTGACACACTAAATAAGTAAATAAAGGAATGAAGTGTAAAAAATAGACAGTGTGAGTCTTTGACGTGAAAGAGCAGTGGAAATGGAGGCCTGGATTCTGCCCCAGGGCTCTTGTGACTGGCAGGAAGTGGCCACATACACATTCACTTCTCAGAGTAAAGGGACTGGGACTTGATACTCTGTTGCCATTCCAGCTGCAGCTTCTGTAGAAGCCTGGAAGTTCCCACCCCTCAGCTGGGGTGCCCTCTCCCAACCCCACTTCTCTAGAGGGCCTCTTTCTGTCAGGTGCTCTGTTTATGGCTTGGAGTGCGGTCTCTTCTAAGCTCAGGGACATGAGGTGCTTTTGTGGTTACCAGTATGGTGAATCTGGTGGATAAAAGGGCTTTTCTCCAAAGAAAATTGCGTGCAGACAACATCTTGTACCGACTTTAGGACTCACAGCTCTCCTGAGGCCCCTTTGTGACTTCTTTTAGGAATCCATTAGCTCCAGTGATTAGGAAGCTTACTTGAGAGGTTTGGAGTGGGGCCCAGGGTCCCTGGTGGTTGGTGAGGGAGCTGCTGTCAGAGTCCAGGGCCTTTCACTCCAGGGCCTTACGCCAGGCACCGCTTCCCCCCCGAGAGCAGGACATGTGAGCACCAGCAGGCTCTCCCCAGGTGACTTGCAGGCGAGCACTGTGAGATGGTGGTAGGCAGGTGGAGGCCTGCATGAATGAGGGCCAGGGCATGGGGGCAGGCAGTGCAGGCCTCCCCAGAGCCCCTGTTTACCAACCCTGCACCCTGCAGACCGACAAGGAACAGCTGACAGCAGAGGCCAAGGAGCTGCGCCAGAAGGTCAAGTACCTACAGGATCAGCTGAGCCCACTCACCCGGCAACGAGACTACCAGGAGAAAGAGATCCAGCGGCTCAACAAGGTGTGCCCAGAGCCCCACCCTGGGTGGGGAAGGCTGGCTGAGCTCAGCTACAAGGCCCACCCTTCTGCTGCCGTCCCCAGTTCAGGAAAGGTGACCCTAGTCAGCACGCTGGTGCCACAGTTCCCACCTCCTCTGTTCTCCATACACCCTGAGTGTCCCAGCAGGATCTTCTGCTCACTCCTGCCTCCCATGTGGCCTTTGCACATCAGTCTCCACCAAGGCTTCACTCTGCCCTGTACTTGCCTGGCCTCCCAAATTCAGCAAAGCCATCTGTCCCTGGATCTTTCTGGTTTCCCCGTTCTATGGCAGCAACATCCGCCTGACTATCAGGATGGTGAAGAGGCTTCAATGCCATGACCTGTGTGCACTGTCCATAATGGGGTTGTGTTAGTTAAGCAACACAGGAGTTGGTTATGGTTATGGTATTTTGGGGAAGAGGATTCCAAGGATGGCCTCCAAAGGCACCTGACTTCCAGGGGTGCTCACTGATAGAACTGCCTCTTCTCCCCTGACCCCAGGCCCTAGAGGAGGCCCTGAGCATCCAGGCCTCCCCATCATCTACACCTGCAACCTTTGGGAGCCCTGAAGGGACTGGTAGCTACCTGAGGAAGCAGGAGCTGGTGACACAGAACGAACTTCTGAAACAGCAGGTGAGGCTCAGGGCGTGGGTGCATCTTGGGGGACTGGTGGACCCTGGGAAGCTGGCGTACCATGGAGAGCTGGTGGATCCTGCAGAGCTGGAGCATCATAGGGGCTGGTGGATCCTGGGGAGCTGGTGAATTGCAGAGATCTGGCCAGCCTTTCCTGTGTTGACTCTGGTCTCTGCTCTCCATGGCTCTGGCTGACAGTGTTGTGCTTTTTATTTTTATTTTATTTTGTATTTTAAAAAATATTTTTATTTTATATATATGAATGTATTACCTGTATGTATGTAAGTGTACTTGTGCTATGCAGTGCCCAAGGAGGTCAGAAGAGGGTGTTGGATCCCCTGGAACTGGAGTTACAGACGGTTGTTAGCCACCATGTGGGTGCTGGGAGATGAGCCCAGGTCCTCTGCAAGAGCAGCCAGTGCTCTTCACTGTTGAACCATCTTTCCAGGTCCTATTTCTGTCTTTTTGAGAGAGTTTCCCTGTGGTCCCAACTGCCCTGAAACTTGCTATGTAGACCAGTCTGACCTTGAACTCAGAGATCTGTCTGCCTCCTGAGTTCACCACCACGCCCTCTGTAAATTTTTATTTTAAATCAGGGATCATTTGTTTAAATAAAACCTGCCTCAAATCCAGAATATAAGATAGAGGACCCCAGAACTACTCTGGTGAAGTTGGGGCTGAGGATGGAGGTGTCCCACGCCATTCTCCAGGTTCCCCAGCTCTGCTCACAGTGTTCTAAATGAGAGGCACAGAGTCTGGGCCTTAGCAGAAAGGTCTCCAGCAAGCTACCCCCACCCATGACTGTCCCCATCCCTTCAGGTGAAGATCTTTGAGGAGGACTTCCAGAGGGAACGGAGCGACCGTGAACGCATGAATGAGGAGAAGGAAGAGCTGAAGCGGCAGGTGGAGAAGCTGCAGGCCCAGGTCACCCAGTCGAATGCCCAGGTGGGAACCTGCGGACCAGGAGGGCGTAGAGGGCTCTGGTGACTCTCCAGTCTCTGTCCAGCCCTCCTGCCACATATCTTTTAGGGCTTCAGTCCCTTGTCCTCTTTTTTAAAAATATTTTATGTGTATGAATGTATTGCCTATGTGCAGTAAGTGCACCCATGTCGTGCAATGCCCAGAGAGGCCAGAAGAGGGCATCAGACCCCTGGAACTGGAGTTATGGTCAGCTGTTAGTTGTCATGTGGGTTCTGGGAACCAAACCTGGGTCCTCTGCAAGGTCAGCCAGTGCTCTTAACCTCTGAGCTATCTGTCCAGCCCCCCTTGAATGATGAGGTCCAACTCTTAAGGTGTTTTTAGCTCCACCTGTCCACATTCAACACTGGTACCTAAAGAAGCAAAGTTCAGAGCTGGCCCCGCAGCTTGCTCTCACTTGCAGAGTGGAAAGATGTTAATAGGAAAGTCCTTCACCAGCTCGTCTGACCTGTGTTCAGACCACCCAGGAAGAGCAGGTTCCCCACAACTAACAGCCCAGCATGTGCTGTGCCCCTCGGTGCCCTTCCCGGGGCTGCCCAGTGTGACAGCACAGAGCGAGGCCATAGGCCCACACTTGGCCACAGACCACCTGGACCAGCAGGTCTCTCTCCTTCCTCCTCCAGCTCAAAGCACTCAAAGATGAGGAGAAAGCCAGAGAAGCCCTCAAACAGCAGAAGAGGAAAGCGAAGGTGAGCAGCTTGGGGGGAGGGGCAGCACGCACTGTCAGGCCTTCTTCAGGGATAAGGGCTTTGGGAGACCGCTGGCCTTCCACCAGCTAGCCAGTGAGGTAGCACGTGCCGACAGAACGCCATCGGCAGAGCAAGGCTGAAGACGTCGGCCAGCATCACTGCTGGGCCTCTGTGGCCCAGTGTCCGGGCCTCTGCCAGGGTCCCAGCCTCCCTTGCCTATAAACAGCTAAGATTCTAGCTAAAGGGCAGTTAGATGGGTACCACTGGTGGTGTTCTCTGGCCAGTGGCAGGCCACAGCCAGATGTGAACCTTTCTTGCAGACCTCAGGAGAGCGCTACCACATGGAGCCCCACCCTGAGCACCTCTGCGGGGCCTACCCCTACGCCTATCCACCCATGCCAGCCATGGTGCCACACCATGCCTTCGAGGACTGGTCCCAGATCCGCTACCCTCCTCCCCCCATGGCCATGGAGCACCCGCCCCCACTCCCCAACTCGCGCCTCTTTCATCTGGTAAGTCTGAGCCTGTGCCCCTTTCTCCTGCAGAACCTGTCCAGAAAGGAAGGCCATGTGAAGTAGTGAGAAACCAGCCCTCAGCTGCTCTGGGGCAGGGCAGTGGCAGGGCAGTGGCAGGGCAGAGGCAGGCAGGTGGCAGGCAGGTGGCCCTCAGTCCGGACCTGCAGCCCTCAGTTGGTCAGGGTCGCTGGCATTGAATTAGAAGACTGGGTAGGAATGCGGGGTAGGAAGGACTCCGCCAAGCCCGGGCTGCCACATCAGTCTGCCAGGTGCTCCCGTGCCACCACATGAGCCAGGTTCTCTGCCTTACCCTCCTCTCTTCCCCTCGTACTTTGCTTCTTTTCTTTTTGCCTCTGAACCCCTCCTCTCACGAGCTGCCTTGCCCGCCCCATGTCTCCACTCTGACAGCCCCACTTGAGGCCCGGCTCTTCCCTGGGTGCGTACAGTAGCCTCTTGTAGGGTTCCTACAGCTGCTCCCCTTAGGATCCTTTATACACATCTTTAGTAGAATGCTGTGCTTAAGAACTGGCTCAGGGGGGCTGGACAGATGACTCAGTGGCTAAGAGCACTGGCTGTTCTTGCAGAAGACTCAGGTTCAGGTCCCAGCACCCACATGATGGCCAACAACCATCCCTAACTCCAAGTCTAGGGAATCCAACGCCCTCTTCTGACCTCTGCGGGGATTGCACAACGTGGGTGCACTTACATACATGTAGGCAATACACTCGCACATAAAATTTTTAAAAATAGGGGCTGGAGAGACGGCTCACTGGTTAAGAGCAGTAGCTGCTCTTGCAGAGGACTCGGGTTCGATTCCCAGCACCCACATGGCGGCTATGAACTGTCCTTAACTCTAGTTCCAGGGGAATCTGAAGCCCTCTTCTGGCTTCTTCGGCATTGCACGACTCGGGTGCACTCATATACATATTCATACACATAAAATAAAAATAATAAATAAAATATTTAAAAATAAATAAATAAAATAACAAATAAAAATAAAATAAAAAATAAAGGCCAGGCGTGGTGGCACATGAATTTAATCCCAGCATTCGGGAAGTAGAGGCCAGCCTGGTCTATGTAGTGAGTTCCAGGCCAGCTAGGGCTATAGGAAGACAGTTTCAAAAAGATAAAAAATGAAAAAATAGAGAGATTGACTCAAGATAGGGGTAGCGGCTTATGCCTGTAATCTACATAGTGAGATAGAGGCTAGCTTGGGCTAACAAGTGAGACTATCTTACCTCAAAAACAAGGGAAGGAGGGAGGAGGCCTGGACTCAGCTACACTTGACCGCTCTCCTAGCTGGGTGACCTGTCTTAACCCTCAGAGCCTCACTGTCCTCCTTTGGAAATGATACCTCTGTGTTGTAAAGATGCAGTTGTACTTAGTTCCTGTGCATTTAGGACCGTTCTGACATGTGGCTGCAGCTGTGGCCCTGGAATGTGCTTATGGGTTCTTAAGCCTCCATCTTGTTGCAGCCGGACTACACCTGGCGCCCACCCTGTGCAGGGATGCGGAATCAGACCTCCCAAGCGATGGACCCACCCCCAGCCAGGCCTGCAGACCCAGGTGAGTGTGGTCCCCCCTCAGGGAGAGAGAGGACTTTGACCTGTCGACACTGTCCCAGCTGACAGATGGTGCTGCTTTCTAGTCTTGGTGGCAGGAGGCCCAGCTTCCACAGAGGTGGTTACAGCTGAGAAGCAGGAGGGGTGGAGAAGATGCAAAGGCCTTGTGTATTGCTCCGCTGTCTGGGAAGAATGCCCAAGGCAGCCAGCTTTCGGGAAGAAAGGTTTGGCTTTGGCTCCTGGTTTCAGAGGTCTCACTTCCTGCTTACGCGGCCCCATCACTTTGAGGCTGTGGCTGCCCAGTACACCATGGTGGGCATGCACAGCAGAGACCTCACCTCATGCTGACCAAAAAACAAAAGAGAAGGAGCTGGGGTCCTGCACCCTCTGAGGGCATGCTTGTAATGGCTGACTTCCTTCACTTCTGCCTACACCGTGCCCCCTGCCTCCCAAAGATTCCACCCCCTCCTGTAGTTCCACAGGCTGGTGGCTAAGCCTTCAGCATATGGGCCTTTGAGGGACGTTTAAGGTCCTAACCGTGAAGTTCTGCCTCTGGCTCCCAAGGCTCATGTCCACCTCACAATGCAGAATGTACTTAGTTCATGTCCGAGAGTCCCCATGGTCTTGACTGTTGCAGCATTGCTTAAAAGCCCAGAGTCCGCTAAGGCCCAAGGCAAACTCAGCTCAGGGTCTCCTTGTAGCCCCAGCTGGCCTGGAACTCACAGAGATCCGCCTGCCTCTGCCTCCCAAGTGTTGGGACTATAGGCGTGCACAACCACGCCTGCCCAGCACACAACCGTATTCTTAGCACTTTAAGAGGCGGAGGCAGGAAGATCAGGAGGCCAAGGTCAAGCTAATCTGGGCAACATGAAACCTATCTCAAAACAAAACAAAAAATCAAAAAGAAAGTTACATACTTCCAATATACATTGTCACACCAGACCCAAGGTGAACATTCCTATTTCAAAAGGGAGGAGTAGGGACATAGACAAGAAGGATCGGACTAAAGCAGTGCTGAAACTCAGCAAGGCAAACGATACACCCACAGCTCCGGGCTGTCATCCTGGCAGGCTCTGCTTGCTTCCTGTGGCTACCCACTGACCCACATTCCTGGCATCCCTGCCGTCCTGGGGTCTCCATCGCAGCTCAGGCTTTATTCACCCTCACAGTCACATGCTGCCCTCTCAGGGATTGTACACAGGGACTGTGATCCTGCTGCACACACTGCCTGGGCCCCTACACCTCCTTTTGAAATCTGGGTGGAAGCCCTGACCCCATAATACTTGGCGTTCTGCATCCTGCAAAACTACCATCACATGGAGAATGCCAGTGTCTCCTGCCAGTTAAGACGGTGCCAGAGCCTGCTTACATCCCAGCTGCAATGGCCAGGGGCCGCTGGGTACACTGGGGCCGAACATAGTAAGGGAATCCCAGGAAACAATTCCCTGGACAGCTGTGTCTAAGCCTGGCACACTGGTGCCCTCCTCCAGTAAGAGGGTTTTGTCTACATTTTTTAGCTTATAATGGGTAGGGTTTCCTCCCTCCCTCCCTCCCTCCCTCCCTCCCTTCCTTCCTTCCTATTTCTTACTTAATTTTATATTGTGGGGTCTCAAGGTATAGCCCTGGCTAGCCTGGTACACTGTAGTAGACAGACCAAGCTGGTTTTAGACTCGTGGCGATCCTTCCGCCTCTCCCTCCTGAGTACTGTGATTACAGGTATGCATTATGGACACCTTATTTGGGTCTTCCTAGTCCTTTCTTAAAAAGGCCTTTGCTGCTGCGGCTGTGTTGTGTTTTGTTTGAGGGTCTCACGTGTAGCACTGGTTGGTCTGGAACTCACTTTGGAGACCAGGCTGGCCTTCAACTCACAGAGATCTCTCTGCTTCTGTCTCTGAAGTGCTGGGATTAAAGGCGTGAGTCACCACACAAGCCTTCTTTAACTCTATGTGTCTGTGTGTGGTTTGTGTACGTGAGTGCCAGTGCCCGCAGAGACCAGTTACAGGCAGCGATGACTTGGTGCAGTATGTGTGTGCTCTTAGCTGCTGACCATCTCCCCAGCCCCCTTGATTCTGTTTACTCTTCACGCCTCCCTAGTGTGGACTTCATGCTTCTTTGCTGGTCAAGCTACACGTTTTTTTTAATCTTCCTGTTCTGCTTTTGCAGATTCTTACGGTAAATCTGGCTAAAAGCCGTCGGCCGAAGCCGTGACAGTGTCTGAGTGTTCTGGGCCTTACCTCCACCAGATTTTTTTTTTTTTTTTTTTTTTTTTTTTTTTTTTTTTTGTGAAATCATCAAAAGGAACGTAGGGCAAACTAGTGTTCAAAGTGTTGCCCACATGAAGCTACACTGAAAATGTGCAACACTGTAGTGCAGTGCTGGGACTAAAGGCATGCACCACCATGCCCAGCCTAGTCTTACTTTTAAACTCAACCTCATACAAGTCTTGGGACATGGACAAAGCCGACAGATACTTTGCTTGACTGTAACTCAGTGGCCCGTAGTCCAGTTCCCGGTAGAGTGCTCAGTCCCACCAGGAACCTCAGGAGCCTGGTCTCACTGTTGGCGTCTAGGCAGTGCTCAGCTCTTCTTTTTTAAAAAAATATTTTATTATTTTTACTTTATGTGTATGAGTATATTGCCTGTATGTATGATATGTAAGTGCACCCGTGTCGTGCAATGCCTTGAGGAGGTTGAAAGTGGGCATCAGATCCCTTGGAACTGGAGTTATGGATGATGGTTGTTAGTTGCCAGGTGGGTGCTGGGAACTGAACGTAGGTCCTCTGCAAGAGCAGCTAGTCAAGTCTTAACTGCTGAGCCACCTCCCCAGCCTCCGTTGTGCTCGGCTCTTCCAAGCCCTCACCAGAATCGACTTTTAAGTTTTATTTACTGAATTCTAGCCATTTCTAGCCTGCCAACCCAATTCCGAAGGCTCTGAACCGCATCATGAAATATAGTCAGGCCAGTCCGCCCACTTCTGGATTAGTTTTCTCTCTTACTCGGTTTTCCATTACTGGGTCCAAGGAGGAAGAATTTGTTTCAGCCCATGGTCACTTGGCCCTGTCACCTTGGGCCTTTAGTCACTTAGCACTTCATGGTAGGAGTATACAGCGACATCTGTTCACCTTACAGCAGCCAGGAAGCAAGAGGGGTACTTGCCCAGTGACCTCACTTTCCCTGCCTCCTAAAGATCCCTCCGCCTCCCAGCAGCACTACAGGCTAACTGGTGACCAAGACTTAACACGTGGGCCTCTGGGAGACATTTAAGATCCAAGTCGGCACCTTATTAGGAGTGGAGAGTAGCTGACTTAAGGAAGGAGCTAAGATCAAGGAGGGGAAAGAGCATGGCAAGCCAGGTGAGGGACAGAGGCAATCTCCATGGTGCAGGGCCTCACAGAGGCTGGGAAGAGGGCTGGTCTGAATCCTGAGCATGGAGTAGAGTCCTTAGACGTTTTAAAGTACACTGTCAGGACCAGATTGGAACTCTGGAAAGCTCCATCAGGCCACAGCATCTGCCATTTAAGAGGCTGAAGGGACTAAGGCTATATTCCCTAGTCGGGAGACTCGCGCCCTAGGGAGCATCCTCACCCTGTGCGGGGAAACAATGGGTAGCCCATGGGACTCTAGGGAGAAGTGAGTGGGGACAGCAGGGAGAGGCCAAACCCATCTCCACACGAAGAGGAACTTCCTAGAAAAAGGGTCACAGTTCTGCAGAAATGAAGCCCGCTCTATCAGGAGGTGGTGCAGAGATGGAAAGTGGGGGTGGGGTTGGAGAACTTGGTGCTTGGAAGAAAGGGTCTGTGGAGCACTTGGGGGCTATTTTGATGAGTGGCAGAGGATGGCCTAGCTGGCAGGGCTGACCCCTCCCAGAACTCACCTCTGGGATCTGAAGATGGATGGACTGGGTTCAGATCCCAGGTCCACTACATCCCATATCTGGGACTTGGGTCAGATCTCTGTAAACCTTGCCTTTGTCCCAGTTCCCTCTTCTGTTTCGGGAGTAACACTGGCTTGCTCCACGTGCTGGGTACAGACCTCATGATGCAGTCCCCGAGACGGGGCCTGGTATCAGTAGCACACAGTAACTAGCTGCTGTTTACACTGGTGTGGAAGCCTGAATTGGCCTCCATGTGAGACTTTGAAACTGACCCTTCCACATGATCTTTAAGTCTTTAAAACTTTTGTTTATTTAGAGTCTGCAAAAAATGACCATGAGGGGCCTCAGTGAGAGCGCAGTGGTCATTTGGCTCCACCTTCATCTTGCAGAGCCAGCTGGCCTCAGATTGCCAAGAAACTAGAGGCCATGTGTGTTCTGTATGGCCAGAGCCTCAGCTGGACCGGAGGCTGGGATGGGAAGACAGTTCACATCCCCAGCCCCACCCTGAACTGTTTACAAGACTGGGTAGAATCCACCCACGAGGCCTCTGTGAGCTTCTGGATATGTTGAGAGAAACTCACCACCCCATCTCTTGCCAACACAAAGGCCTGCACCTGGCTTTGACCTGCCGTCCTTTGCCGAGGCCACCAGATGTCCGTCTTAAGAATGGGGTGCAGCCAAGACCCCTTCCTCTCAGAACCTCAAAGAAATGGTTCCAGGCCCTCTGGGGACCACACCCAGTTTATCACCTGTGATTTTTGCTTCAGGTTCAGTAGGGGGGGCTCCCCCTTGCCCCTGTGAGGAATTGTGGGTAGATGGTTTGTCCCTGGAGCAGAAGAGGATGATGGGGTGTTCTGATGCTGGGAAACTCTCCACTGCGCCCTCACAAGAGCCATCATGGTCTGGGATGAAAGCTACACCCGCCACATCTGCTGAGGGGCCCCAGCCTGAGCTACTGGACCCTGAAGTTCAGTCCCTTGGCCCCAAGAGGCTCATGGTGCCAGAGGCCTCTGTGGAGGTGGCTGTCTGTTGCTAGGCAGCTGTTTTGCACGAATCTTGGACATAAATCCAACTTGAAGATCAACATTTTGTGACTGGTATTCTTTCGTGTCCTGGCTAATATTCCCCTCACGGCCAATCGGAGTGTTGTTTTCCTGGCCGTTCCTTCTGCACCCCTTCCCTACATATCTCTGAGAGAGTCGCTAGCATTAGGGGCACCCAAAGTCGGGGGGGGGATCCTGGGCTGGGGTCAGAAAACCTGGAGCAAGCCTCAGTCTCCCTGTCCACATGTCATGCCCCTCTGCCCTCACTGCCCTGGGGAAGGCTGTGCTGGGTGAGAATGAATTGATGTGGACTGAGTTACCAACTCCAGTCACTGAATGCAAACAGCAGTGGGAGCTCCAGTAGAAGCCAAAACGAGGCCCCAGAGTGTGCCTGCTGCGCCTCTTCCACCTTGCTTCCCTCCGTCTCCATCCCTGGTGCCCATCTCCCACACAGGCAGCCACCATTGAGGAACTACCACAGGAGACTTGCTGCTGCAGAAAGGCCTTTACTGGGCAGATAGGGGTGTGGAGACGCCATTGGACAGGGTGAGGGACAGGCACATCCTCTGGAGGAGCAGGGGTGACATCCCTGCCTGGGGGCCTCAGCCTGAATGCACTAAGGGCTGGCCCCAAAGACAGGCTCAGGGGAGGCCCGCCCACAAGGGCTTCGGGCCACTCCTTCATGGAGACACCACCCCTGACACAGGTGTATGTGGCTGGCACTCACAGCTGCCTTGACTGATCTCAGGAGCACTGTGGGGTGGGGATAGCGGCTGGGAAGGGCCCTTCAGGAAGGAGGGAGAAGGCTGGCAGTGTAGTGGAACTGGAAACTTAGGAGGACTAAGTGGGGTCATGTGGAGGTGGTGGGGGATGGCCCCAAAGTTACTACCCAGGTTTGAGCAGAATAATTGTATTAGAACTGGTGCTCCTCTGGGCTCATGGGAACAGAGCTGCAAAGAAAAGGATGATGTTCTCCAGCACTGCCCAGCACCCAGCTGTGGGCATGGATGGTCCATTCCCAGGTATCACGCAGGCAGACATGTGGCTGTTTAGCCATGTACATACAGTCACACACAACTTTACAGTGTATGCACGGTGGTACAGACACATCACTATGCCAGGCTAGGCTTCTGTGTAGTAAGAAAAGGGGTCTGAGGGAGTTGTAGAATGTGATTGGAAATGTGGAATCCTTCCTGAAGAGTCCTTCCCAGCACCTGTGTGGTAGATGTGGGGTGGAGGTGGGGGAGAGTTACTTCCCTCTGGCCCCCAGGGCTGCCTGCCGCCTCATGTAGGACAAGATGTCCATCTTGACGTTGCTGACTGTGGTCCGGTGGTACCAGCGCATGATGGGTATGCCGTCTGGCCCCACCAGGAACTTCTCAAAGTTCCAGCGGATGTCATGCATCTTCATGGGTTCCCAGAAGAGGCGGCCAGGTGAGCCCAGGAGCTCCGCGGTGGGCGGGCAGGAGTTCTAGAGCAGAGGTGGAAGGGACATCAGTCTGGCTTGGAGACCCCTCCTGGCCTCCCCTCCCGAGGTAAACCTTGCACTGAGAAAAGAGCACCAGTTTGGGAGCTGCATTTGGCTGTCCATCACTGCGGTGACTCTGGAAGGTTGTGGGACTGTCAGACTGGCCCTCATGGGCCCTGCCTTATCTACACAACAGGCTGATGGGATCCCAGGGTCTGCCGAGCCTTCTTGTTGGACTACTAGACCAAGAAGTTTCCAGGGCCTGAGGTGCATGGACTGGGGCTAGGGCACGTCACCCCACCCACCTTCAGGAACGTGTAGAACTTCTGCTCCTTCTCCCCGTTTACGTCCCCTTTCTCAAAGAGCTGGAAGTTAGGGACAAAGCCTCCTCCTGGTCGGACATACCTGCAGGGAATGTTCCTAGGTGAACTGAAGGCAGTGGACCACACAAGGCTCAGAAATAAGGTGAAGGGACTGAGAGGTCAGAGTTGGGAGTCTGGTTTTATCCACTGGGAGCTCATGACGTGAATGGACATACAGGAGCCCAGGTGGGTCTGTGGTCATTGCCACCTTGGTCCCTTCTGCATACCCACCCCACACACCTCAGGACTCCCCTCTACTCCCATCATATGCTGTCCAACCGGCACCCACAGCCTTCTATTTCCTAGCCCCTCCCCTCCCCTCCCCTCCCCTCATTCCGCTAAATGCCATCCCTGGAGGGGAAAACAGATGAGTGGCTGGCAAAAGCCACTGAGACAGAGCTGAGCGGCCTCCGCCCACAGTGGTCTCCCAGCCACCAGCTGAGCACTCACTTGAGACTAGGTAGGATCTCTGAGTTCTCGCCCGGCTCCTGTTTGCCGAATTGGTTGCAGGGGAAGCCCAGGATGACCAATCCAAACGGCCCAAGCTCTTCCTGTAGTGCATTCAGTTCTTGGCCAGGGAGAGAACAGAGCCAGGTGAGGGCTCTGCCTCAGCACCCTGCTCCCCTGTCACCCTCCAGGCGGCTGGAACCTCTGAGGCCCGAGGTGGGAGGATTTGCCCAGGGTCACCTAGTGAGTCAGTAGCAAGGCTGGGGCTCAGGACATGTCCTAACTCCAATCTGGGCGGAGTGGAGGTTTAGCAAAAAAGGACCGTCTTGGGGTGATGGGGGAGTTCCCAAGCCTCCCATCTAGGATTTCAGGACCTCAGCAGAGGGCCTGGCCAGCTCCCCAGTTTTCTCAGTGCGCCTAGCCTTGTATGCAGTGCCAACACTCAGCCCATCTCTTCACAGACACATTGAGTGTTCCAAGGATAGGAGCACTGCGGACAGAGCCACCACAGAACTGACCTACAGGTGCCAGTCAGATGGCCAGTGTCTGCTCGGCCCCAGAGCTTCTGCTCTGAGTGCTGTCAAGCTTTGACCTGCCCATTCCCTCGGACCTGCCCCCGCCAAGGAGAAAGGACTGAGGATGCTGACGTTAGGGAGGTGTGAGCTTGAGTCAGACGTTGGGTTCGGCCACAGCTGGCCTTGCAACCCTAGTTGTTTATACACGCCAAGCCTTGCTTCCCTTAGCACACTGGGAAGAGAGGAGGGCTGGGCTCGGCTGTCTTTAAAATTTGTTTTAGAATGAACTATTGCATGTGGCCTGCCCTGGTGCCTCTTCCCCACCCACACACAGCCTCCAGAGCCTCCAGCCAGCGGCCTGTTCTCCAGCGTAGAGCCAAGATAAGCACCCGGAAGGATGGGGCTTGAAGGAGAGGAGATGGTCCCTGCCAACCTGGGCTGTGGCCACCATCTCTGGCTCCATCCAAGGGAAAGAAGAAAGCACAGGGTCACGCTCCGCCCCTTTGCCTTGAAGGTAGCTGAGGTGCTCAGGGGTAAAGGGTAGCTGAGAACTTCCCAGAATATGCCCGAAGGCCAGGTTTATATAATTATGTCTGGAAAACATGGAACGTACTAGTGCTGGAACACCATCTTTGGGTCTCAGTCACTATCAGCCCTCACCTGTTGCCTGAGGAGTTCCCAGTATCAAAGTGTGCCCTCGACATAAGGCAGCAGGTAGGAGGGTCTCTTACCAAGGTACTGGTCTGTTAGGCCTCAGTAGCTGGCTACATTGACGAAGAGGACATATTTGCCAGCGTACTGCTTAAAGGGAATGTACTCCTCCCCATCAATGGTGAGGGCCCCGTACTCGTAGATGGTGCCGCTCATGCCCCCGTGGCAGTCTGTCTGAAAGAGAAGACGGACAGCAGGGAGCACTTAGCATTGAGGAAAAGGGCATTTCCCCACCTTCCAGTTAATGATTCCCAACAGGGAAAATGACGAGCAGGACTGGAACTGACTAGAACTGGAACCTGACTAGAACTGAAGTAAGGGCCTGACGAGCACTTGGTATTCACATTAGACACTTAGTGCTATGGAGGCCTGGAAATTACTTAGCGGTAATCACTTCCATAGCTCATGTGAGTTTAAGAACACAGAGTCTGTCCTGGTGCTGGCATAGGGTTGGGGGATGCACTGAGGAGCCAGGTTGTTTGACTTCTGCAATAGTTCAGGCAAGGAGTGAGGAGGCCCACGCTAGGTGACTGGGAAGGAGACACTGGAAAGGGAAGTGTCAAGATGTGGAAAGTCATTCACAGCCTCCAAGTTGGGGGGCTGGGAATCAGGGAGTGAGACCAGGACACAGGACTAGAGAAAGGCCTCGTGAGGCCTCAGTGTGCCACTTGAGGTGAAGCTGCAGTGCCAAGATCAAACGCTCTGCAGGGGCCACCGCACAATGACACCCACACCCCTTCCTGTCTGCCCAACCACTGCTCCACAGTCTAACTTCAGGAGGAGGAGGGAAGGGGCACAGGGCACGATGGGGTATGTCAGAGGACCGGGTTCTGTCCCAGCACTCCCACCAGCTCAGTGTAGTCTTGAACTGGCTGTTTCTTTTCTCCCTGCTTCACCTCACACCTGATGAGTCATTCAACCCAGATGACTGAAGAGCGCCCCTGTCGGCAGAAGAGGAGGAAGGGGGCCCACTGCCAGCCCCTCCACCCCTCCTCACCCCCAACCCTGACAGGCCTACTCTTGAAAGGGTGACGTGGGCAGGTGGTGATGAAGGAAAATCACTCCTTCTTCCTTCAGTTCTGGAAAACTCTCCCAAGGCCTGGTCCTCAGCCTGACTGGGTGAAGGAGCCATCCAGGCAGCAGGGCAGGGCCCCAGTGGGGTACAGAAGAGTGCCTCTGTCACGAAGCCACTGTAGTCCTGAGTAGCTGGGTGAGTCTGATTGCCTTTTCCGGGTCATGTCCTGACGGCTGCCAGCTCCCTCAGCTCCAGTACAAAGCCCATGTTTTCCCTGTGATCTATTAGCCACACACTGCGGCTCTGAGTGCTCCACCTCCACTGAGTAGTCCTCCTGGCCCAGGCCTCCTAGGCCCCAGCTGGGATCATTTCCACCTTAAAATGCAAACAGCACTAGGCATAGGGGGTGAACATCAGTAATCCCAGCACTTGAGACTGAAGCAGAAGGATGGAGGGTTCAAGGCCAGCCTGGGCTACATAGTGAGTTCCAGGCCAGCTGGGACTACAGGGAGACCCTGTCTCAAAAAGACCAA